CAGTCTCTGTCTCAAAAAGAAAAAAAAAAAGAAAAAGAAAATGAGAACCTGGAAATTGCTTCTCTTACAACTATCTCCACACAGTCTATGGAAAGATTTGTGTTCCCATCCCCCTTCCACACACCCCAGGGTCCTCATACTCTTGTTTGGAAACTGCTGAGGTCATCAGTACCCAACTTTCTACTGAATTTTGCTAAGGCTTACTTTTTTATTTTTTTCTTTCTTTTAGTTAAAAACTATGTGGAAATTTAAATATTGTCTTCCACACCTTGGTGGACTGCCTCAAGCATCCCCTGGGTGGCTCATGGAAGGGTGGAGATCCCAGACTCAGAACAATCATGAATGGCATGGCTTTGGAGAACTTGCTGGGAGTTAATAGGACAAGTTCTGGGGCAAACACTAGTGGTAACTGCAAATTGACTCATTAGCCCCAGAGTAACAGAATTGATTGTATTGATGGTGCTGGGAGCCCAAGAGCTGTTCCCTGAGGATTGACAGTAGAACTTTTACCGAAGAAACCCTCCCACTTTGAGGAACCTCACTCTACTTCCTCCTTGCCTCCTCTCCCTGTCCTGCCTTCTCTATCCCTGTTCTTCTTGTGCTGAAGGAACTAGTAGAAGAGTAAAGAATTGAGATAAGAAAAGAACAAATGCCCAGGTTTTTTGGGGGGGGGGCACTGAATGGCTTAGCTATTCCAAGTATTTGCTCAAGTTCTCCCAGGGGTCTAGGACTGGAGATGGGTCACGCCCACCCCTCTCAGGCCACCCTCGGTTTTACTGGTTCCTTGTGCACTGGTTTTCTCTTGCCTCAGGGCCTTTGCACTGGCTGTTCCCTCTGCCTATAACAGCCCCCCTCCCCTCATGGGCCATTATGGGAATTGGGTATTGAAATTGCTGTCCTTAGACCAAAGTCATGGAGAGTAAGGTCTCCTGTATTCTCAGAACTCATGGGGTAAGTAATAAATACTGGGTGTAATAAAAATTGGGATGAGAAGGCAGGCAGGGCTGTAAGAGGAATCAGAGGGCCTTTGCTACTCAGGATATTACAAGATTTCATTTTGCATATAACCCGTAACTTAGAGGATTCCTCCAGCGAGGGCGTAAGAGTGAGCGCCCCACAACCTCGCCCGCGCTCATTCCCCGCCAGCACCTCACACATCCGACACAGCCGACCCATCCACAGATTTCTTTCCGTCTGTAGCTTTCTCTTTTCTGCTCTCTTCACCTGTACAGGTTTTCTTCTCAGGTGAATTCTCCTCTGGGCCGGAATGTTTTCTTCAGCTTTTAGTAATTTAAAGGGGCCTTTTTTACGTGAAGCAAACACTTGGCTCGTTTGGAAACAAACTTCAAATAAGCGTACACATTTTATATTGACGAATTCTTCAAAAGTTTTAAGTTTGCCGCAGTCCTTTGGCAGACAGTCTGAGAAGCGCTGGCACGACGCCCACGACGCCCCCGCGCGCCCCCGTCCCCGCCGGTGGTGCCGGAGCATGCGCCTGAGGCTGGGGACCCACAGCCGGCTGTTCCCGCACCTGGGCGGCGTCCAGCCCCGGCTCTCCGGCGGCCCTGAGTCAGCCAACCACCGAGAGTCGAGGACCTCCCACTTTCCTAGAGAGAACAAGTGGGCATTAGGGGCACGGGGGTGAGGTGGGTGGTGTAAACGACCGACCCGGAAGCGAAACGGGGGGAACTTCCGTTCTTTGTTCTGTCCCCGGTGTGTGGGTCTGTGACAGGGTTCAACAGGGCCTGGTCTGTGTCCGGCCCCCCTTTTCTCCCGTCCTTTCCCCCAGGGTGAGTCCGGCTGTCCCTGGGGCTCGCGGTGAGACGGAGGCTGCGGTCGCCGGGAAGGGGGGTGGTGTCCGTGCCGCTGCGGCTCGCGGGGTCCCCAGGCTGGCCCGGAGCAGGGTGCGGGGAGGCGCCCCTCCCTGCTCCGAAGCCAGTCCCCTACTCCACTTCCCCGGAGGACCCGCCGCCCCCAACACAGTGAGACCCCGCGTGGGGTGGGGCGGGGGGAAGGAAAGGGCCCCAGGTTCTGATTTTGCGACTTAAACATCGTCCACCTCGAGCCTTTAAAAGTTTCAGTATAGTATAGAGAAGTCCCTCTCTTAAAAACAGCTGGTGACAACGACCCTCGCTCGGTACTTCTCCTAGACGCATTTACTTAATGTGAACACTTATACGAGCCCGTGGTAGGAGAGGAAGTTTATTTTTACTTAGGTGGGTCCGAGGATCAGAGAATGTGTAGTTCTGCGAAGGGTATGTAGTTAGAACCACCACTGGGAGGGCAGGCAAATTCATTCCGAGAATAATCCCACTGGAGCCCAGTAAATCGAGTCTTTTTCCAGGAGTGATACAGCCGACTCTGGCTCCCATTTTCAGTTGTATTAGATTACTAATTTGATAGTGCTTTAGAAGCGATATTGAACCCACACTGGTGTTTACGTTCTGAAGGGCGTATGTAAACTCCACAAGAGGATGGCAGGATGATGAACCTGAAATCTATGGAATAATTAGGGGAACTAAAGGTATTTTTTTCTCCAGAAGAGACATCTGTGGAGAGTGGGCAGCATTTGGTTTCAACTGTTTGATAGACATTCGTATAGAAGAAGATTCTATCATTGAAGCTCCATAGGGCACTAGGTTTCCCTGAGGTGAAGGTCCAAGGAGATAGATTTTCAGTTTAACACATGAAGACCCCTAATGGCTAACCTGTGCAACAGTGGAACAGACTCCCTGCTGAAGTACTTGAGAGTACAGTATCTAGCAAGTTAACTGACAGAACCTTAGGGACTTTCTTACCCTGGGTGGAGGTTGACCCAGAGAACCTTCAGTTCCTTTTCAGCTCTGTCCAGGGGTACAACCCAAATACGAGTTGTGGTGGCTGTAATTAGTATTTGTCAACATATGTTTTCTCTTTTTTTCTTATCTCTGTCTAGATTAGAAATGAAGTTTATGTGAATGTTTTAAATTCCCTTTTTTCCCCTCAATCATACAGCATTGGCATCAACTAATGTCAGAATTTCCAGGATCTTGAACAGAGGCTGCCAAATTTCCAATAATTGCTACTTTGGCCTTCTAGGGACTAACTCCAAAGAAGGGAGAAAAGAGTCCAGCAGGTAAAGCTTTCCATGGAGTGTACTCACTGCTGGGTTATCTTTCTCAGTCCCCAAGATTAGCTGCAGGGAGTGGGGTTGACAGCAGAGCAGGGAAAGGGCCCTGCCTTGACCTGAAGCCATGGGGCACAATGGAGAGTTTTCTTTCTATGAGAAACGTTGTTTACTGATCCAGACACTGGGGACTTGTTCTCAACAGTATGCCTTTGAATTCTGGCTTTGCTTAACCCAGCTGTGGGAAGGGACTGTTGCCTTTTTCTCTGCAGTCAGAGCCTTTGACTTGCCTTTCTAGGGAGAGTTAGTACTGAGCTGATTTGTTGGGAGTATCTGCTCATAAACAGTCCTGGAAATTGTAAAGGTGGTTCATAATTAAAAATGGTGGCTGGTTCTGAGACAGAGTTGAAGGGGTCCCGCTGGGAGAGTGATAGTGACAAGAGTGTGTGTCACCTTGATTGCCAGTGAGTCTGGCTTATGCCTGATGTGGTGCTTTCCACCGTACGATGGCATTGGTATTGGGCATTCTATACCCCCTTGCTGCCCAAAGACCATAGTTCTCCAAACTTTCAAGGGACTCTGAGACAGGACCCCTCCTCCTTGTATGGCTCACGTGAGGGTAACAGTCCGTAATGATGAAGCAAATACTTCTTGAATTCCTGATTTTTTTCACTGTTTGCAATATTGCCTTGCAATATAGTTGGCACTCAACAAATGTTTGTTATATGAACAAATAAGTAACCAGATAAAGATAGGGAGGTAGATGAAATCCAGGATTTTTTTCCTTATGTTCTTGCCTAAGTGTAAGGACGCTCTGGTGGCTGCTGGACGTTTTCTACCTGTATTGATCTTGCCACAGCATTCAGGTGTGAAGTAGAAACTTACACTTGTGATCCAAATCTTGGTCTAAGTACTAGTATTACATTTTATCCACTAAGCCACAGAGAACAGACCTCTTTTGATTATGGTAACAACTGGGGAGTAGAGACATTACTAGGGATAAAAGAGTAATAAAGAATCTTATGTTTTAAAAAATACTGGTCCCAGGCCGGGCGCGGTGGCTCACGCCTGTAATCCTAGCACTCTGGGAGGCCGAGGCGGGTGGATCGTTCTGAGCTCAGGAGTTTGAGACCAGCCTGAGCAAGAGCGAGACCCCGTCTCTACGAAAAAATGGAAAGAAATTAATTGGACAGCTAAAAATATATGTAGAAAAAATTAGCTGAGCATGGTGGCACGTGCCTGTGGTCCCAGCTCCTCAGGAGGCTGAGACAGTAGGATCGCTTGAGCCCAGGAGTTTGAGGTTGCTGTGAGCTAGGCTGACGCCACGGCACTCGCCCCAGGCAAGAGAATGAGACTTTGTCTCAAGAAAAAAAAAGAAAAAAAAAATACTAGTCCCCACTTATATTCTAATCCAAGGAAATGTTTTGTGAGAAAAGGGAGATAAAAAGAAGGCAGCTGCCTTCTCACTGAGAGGAAACACAGCAAGTGGGACTAGTCCAGGGGTGGAAAATTTACAGCCTTAATGCCACATGTGGCCTTCTAGGTCCTTAAGTGTGGCCTTTTGACTGAATCCAAATTTTATGGAACAAATTTGTTACTACCCCTGGATTAGTCTTTTTATTGTGGTCAATATATATGCCCACTTTTTGGTGTTTTAAATATCAGTTAGTGTGTAGAGGAAGCTATTGTTGAGAAACTTGGGCCCTTTTTGTGGTCCTTGTGGTAGTCTCATTACAGGGAGTGGGTGTACATATTCAGTAGGATCTAAAAGATCAGTCCTAGTTGCTGTGTTTTCTCTCACTGTTCTTTGGTACTAATTGAAATAGTTCTGCTCTTTCTGTACTCAGGAGGTTTTTTTGAACTATCTTTGAACCTTGAACTTTTGCTTCTGCAGTGCTTCCTCATTCTCATTCAAAACCTGCTTCCTGCTGAGTCTGCAGAGACAAGAGACTGGATCATCTAGCCCTACCCATGGAAACTCAGGCTGATCATGTATCTCAGGAACCTCAGGCCCTGCTTGAGAGTGGTGAGGAATAGAGATTCACTCATTCTCTTACTCAGTCATTCAACAATCATCTGTTGAAATCTTTCATTCACCAACTGTTAGGCTGACTACTAAAATCCAGACATGAGTAAGACACGCTCCTTGCCATTCAGTAATTCACAACCTAGTGGGGAAGGCTAACTGAAACCAGCAATTAGTGGACAGCTTGATAGGTTTTATTATGGAGGCATTTTTGAAGGGTTGTGAGCATCTTGTGTGTAAGAAAATTGTGACAGTTCATTTTTCCATCAGCCAAGAAGGACGTGTTGAGGTTGGCATACCCATCAAGGACAGTAACTACCATGGCTTCCAGTACTTGGAAGAAACCTCAGACGTGTGGCCTCCTGGCCAGGTGTCTGCAGTTTCGTATTGTTGGAGCGTTTGTTGTATCCTTGTGGGTTGCAGCTTTCTATAAGTTTGCTGTAGCTGAAACAAGAAAGAAGGCATATGTAGATTTCTACAGAAATTATGATTCTTTGAAAGATTTTGAGGAGATGAGGAAGGCTGGTATCTTTCAGAGTACAAAGTGATTTTGGAATATAAAGGTGCAATTGCTTGGACCTAGACCATGAATTGAAAGGGTCTCCATGAGCCTGTGTGTTATCCTTTTTAACTCATGCAAAATTTTTGAGTCCCAGTGATGTGAGCTGTATTTAAACCTAGGTATCAGTGAAAAACTGCATTGTAAAAAAAAAACCCCTGGTAACAATAGACATCTATGTGTGGTCACCAAAAAAAAAAAAAAAAGAAAATTGAGACAATTACTGAATTCTATTTTTTAGGCATTGTGTACAGCTGACTTCATAGGCAGAGTTTGTGCTCTTTAGGAGCGTGATCTTAGAGAAAACTCTTCAGGAATCATTTTTTAGGACACAAGCAAAAGGTTAAATTGGGTAGGAAGCCACTAAAATATATTTTGCTTTCATAGGCTGCGCCACCGACTTTGGCACAGTCTTAATGGGTATAGTTCCCACGCTTATCAGGAAAAAGCATTTAAGGACTTTTGTCTGATGATTCAACAGATCTGGTATCTCTAGGGGTTCAGAGTCTCTAAGAGACAAATATGTAAACGTAAGAATTACAGAAAAAAATGAGTGATCAAGCACAGAAAGAGGAAGTGTCTGTGGTATATAGATTGGATCTGGGGAGGGAGAATAAGGAGAAGAGCTATGGGTGTGGTGTTTTCAGCCAGGGCTGAGGAGAAGCTGCTGGTTTTCCTCTGGTCTGAGAACTTCATGCAAGAATTTGAGTTCAGAGATGGGGGAGAATGATGGAAGGAACATGAGCAGGATCGCCTGTTTCTGGCCAAGCTTGGGTGAATGAACAAGAATCCAGCAGTCACTAAACATGGGACTGGGTAGTTTCACTGAGAAGAGTGACCTTGGGCAGATTGGAAAGCAAGAATTACCAGGCTCTGGGCCTACTCTTCTCAGGCAGGATGGACCTACCCTGAATGTGCCTCTGTTGTATGCACCTTTAGTAGCTGCAGAGGAAGCAAACTTAGAAATGTAAGAGGGAGCAAGTCCTGGGTTGTCTCAGGACCCTGTGAGCTTTCCAGAGATGGGGCAATCAGTGAGTCGGGAGGCCAGAGAGCAGATGGACTCACTCCTGGGCCCTTTTATTGCCTTTCAGCTCTTCCTTCTTCAAAAGTTCCTGCCTTTTCCAACAAGGACAGCCTGGGAGATGAGATGTTGGCAGCTGCCCTCCTAAAGGCCAAGTCCCAGGTGAGCTCTGGTTTCCTTCATCCTTTTCCTTCCCACTTTTGAGGACATTTTTTGTGCAGCGACATCACATTCAGAACCCTATTCCCTAATTCCCTTCATCAGGATCGTGGTTCTTTCCTGCTGAATAGCGGACCTTTATCTTCCATCTTGGACTCTTGTCTCCTACTCTGACCACCTTTCTCCACTTCCCAAATATGCATTATTCAGCCCCATCTTGAGTTATTTTTGGGGGCACTGCCAGTCCCATCTCTCGCCCTGAAATTGCATGCCAGGACATGTTGTTTCAGGAATTGGTGACATTTGAGGATGTTGCTGTGTACTTCATCCGGAAGGAGTGGAAGCGTTTGGAACCTGCTCAGAGGGACCTCTACAGGGATGTGATGCTGGAGAATTATGGGAATGTGTTCTCACTGGGTAAGGAGTTGCACCTTGTCAACAAAACTCCCTGGTCTCTCTTTTCTTTTTTGTTTGCTTGTAACAATCTAGCCATTGAAAACAGTTAGCTAAGGATTGACTTACTCTCAGAAAATTCTAATAACAATAATAATCGTAACTCACATTTATACAGTAATTTGCAGCTTATAAAGAGTTCTCATATATATTCACTCATTTAGTCTTCATGGTAACACAGTGATTGAGGTGTAGATAATATTATCCTCATAAGTGAGGAAAATGAGATCAGAGATCGCAAATGCCATGTGCATGGTCATAGAGCTGGTGAGTGGCAAAACTCAAGCCCAAGTCTTTTTAATTCCAAATCTGGTACTTTTTCCATGCCATTCTCAGGACTTAATATAGAATCCAGAGACTTTTCTAAAGTATTAGTGTGTTAGGATCCCTGAATGTGTGAGGTGCTGCTCTGTGCCCAGGTAAACTGGGACTCTGTCTACTCCTCCCCTTCTCTGCTGGATTACCTCTAAGCACCTGTGCTTTGTTCAGGACCTAGTGTACCTGCTGCTCTATAGAAATTTAAACTTATTTTAAGGAGAAATTAGCTTCTTAAGCTTTAGGATGTAAACTATTAATTCCTTGTCTTTTGTTCCACTTTTAGTAAGAACGTTTTCCCAAGCAGTGCCAGGGGGTCTTCTTAACTCCCATTTTGGACCCTCCTGTACATTTTCTTTCTGTCCCCTGTAGATCCTGGGTCTGGGATTGAGCTCTGGGACCACTCGGTGTGAGCAAGATAAACCTCCTTGTCCCATGTTTCTCCAATGAGCAGGATTCCCATTTCTCAATCCTGACACAATCTCTTGGCTGGAGTGAGAGGAAGAGCTGAGGGTCCTGGGTTTGAAGGGAACTGAGAACAGAGAGGTCCTGAGAGGTACCTGTTCAGGTGAGGGAGAAACAGCTGTTCCTGTCCCTAACATTCATTTCCCTGTCTTTACTTTTTAAAATACCCATAAACTAAAAATGCTAACTATCTGGACCCTTTACACTTATCCTCTATGTCTGAAGCCCCTTTAGAAATTCCAGTGTAGGCCAGGTGCAGTGGCTCACGCCTGTAATCCTAGTACTCTGGGAGGCCAAACGGGGAGGATCACTTGAGCTCAGGAATTCAAGACTAGCCTGAGCAAGAGCGAGACCCCATCTCTACCAAAAATAGAAAAAATTAGCCAGGTGTGGTGGCATGCGCCTATAGTCCCAGCTACTCGGGAGGCTGAGGCAGGAGGATCACTTGAGCCCAGGAGTTTGAGCCTGCAGTGAGCTATGATGACGCTACTGCACTCTAGCCTGGGGTGACAGAGTGAGACTCTGTCTCAAAAAAAAAAAAAAAAAATTAAAAAAAAAATAGCAACTCCAGTGTAGAGAAAATAGAGAAGTCAAACACTGAGATTGTTTGCATAGTCTCACGTGCAAGCATAGCCTTCCAGGTGTAGGGCCCAGAGGTGGACTGAACTCTGTCTTGCTGTTTCCATGGATTTGGCATATGTGGCATGACAACAGACATGATTGTTCTTCTCAGGGCCCATTGGGGTCATTAGTGCCTTCACTCTGACTCCTTCCTGCTCTGCTGCTGTTTCTCCTTGCCCTTCTGCACCTTTCTCACCAGCCATCTGTTTAGTTTCCTGTATTTGTGGTCACCATCTCCCCAGTTATAGCTGTTGTGTCTGACCTCTCTGAAGACTGTCACTTCATTAAGCAATATGATCTTCCGCTTCTAATTTTGGTTCTCTGCCTTTCTGCCTGATCCATCCTCCCCTCCTTAGAAACTCAGCTTTCTCTGTACTTTCAGCTCTTTTCTCCTGGATTTTGCTTTCTGCCTTGCTCCTTCCCTGTCTCCTGAGCCCAGTTATCTTGTTTTGCCTTAGCTTCACACATACGGGCAGGCCTCTTTGCTGGCATGTAAGAGGCATGTGTTCTTAGCATTATAATCATGTGATTATCCTGTCTTCTGATTTTCATTCTTTCTTCCACAAGGAACAAGTGACATTTGTGTTTTTTATTGTGCCAGATGGTGAGACCAGAACCGAGAATGATCAAGAAATTTCTGAAGATACAGGATCACATGCGGTGCTACTGGGAAGATTCCAAAAGGATATTTCTCAGGGTCTTAAGTTTGAAGAAGCCTATGAACGAGAAGTCAGTCTAAAGAGGCAGCTGGGGAACTCCTCTGGAGAAAGATTGAATAGGAAAATGCAAGATTATGGTCAAGTGACAGTTGGGGAAAAGCTAACACCTGTGGGAGAGAGAAGTGAGAAATATGCTTTCGGGAACAGCTTCACTGTGAGTTCCAACCTTCTTTCCCATCAGAGACTTCCTGTGGGAGACAGACCCCATAAGTGTGATGAATGTAGCAAGAGCTTTAATCGAACTTCAGACCTTATTCAGCATCAGAGAATCCACACTGGGGAAAAACCCTATGAATGTAGTGAATGTGGGAAGGCCTTCAGCCAGAGCTCACATCTTATTCAGCATCAGAGAATCCACACTGGGGAGAAACCTTATGAATGTAATGATTGTGGGAAGACCTTCAGCTGTAGCTCTGCTCTCATTCTGCATCGGAGGATCCATACCGGGGAGAAACCTTACGAATGTAATGAGTGTGGGAAAACCTTTAGCTGGAGCTCCACCCTTACTCACCATCAGAGGATCCACACTGGCGAGAAACCATATGCCTGTAATGAATGTGGGAAGGCCTTCAGCAGGAGTTCCACCCTTATTCATCATCAGAGAATCCACACTGGAGAGAAACCCTATGAATGTAATGAGTGTGGGAAGGCCTTCAGCCAGAGCTCACACCTCTATCAGCACCAGAGAATCCACACTGGAGAGAAGCCCTATGAATGTATGGAATGTGGAGGAAAGTTTACCTATAGTTCAGGCCTTATTCAGCATCAAAGAATCCACACGGGGGAGAATCCCTATGAATGTAGTGAGTGTGGGAAAGCCTTCAGGTACAGCTCAGCTCTTGTTCGCCATCAGAGAATTCACACTGGAGAGAAGCCTTTGAATGTAATGGATATGAGCAAAAGTTCTCTCAGAGTTACTGCTGAGTTAAGTATCAGAGAGTCTACATGAAAAAGCCACACACCTGTTTTCTTCACTTCCTCTGAGTCTCAAGAGCTCTTGCCTTACTGTATAGTACAAACAACTTAGGATCTGTCCCTTCTAATTCCAACCTTTCACTTTAGAGAATGGGGCAAATTGGGCAAATCATCCTGGCACAGTGATCAGCAGCCTAGTGAATTTTGCCCGGAATCCTGCCGGCCTTGGAAAATGACGAGGCCAGCCGCATATCACGTGCTGGGAATAGAAGGAAGCTCTGGGACCAGTCACCCCATATTGGAAGGGAGTTTGCACTAATCCATTTTCCTCACAGTAGAGAAGCCTTTCCAAGGTGGGGATGGAAGCACAGTAGGGACAAAATTCCAAGGATTCCTCTAGTTGGAGTAAGTCAGCACAGAAAGCAGTGTAGAGAATGTTCTGGGTCCTGTTACTTGCTAGGAAGGGGAAATAGAGGCTATATTTCAAAGCCACTGTTCCTAATCCAGCTTTAAGTTTTGCTGAGGAACATACTGTTTTGTTTCATGATTTCATTAATTATGGAAATTTGGTGTTGAGGGATTTATTAAGGTGGGGAGAAAAGACCCCCCAAAATTTTCTGTGATGACTATATCGTTGAAGGCTCTTGAAGCAGCAAGACCATGTTTCCAGGAGCAGTCTGGCAATATTGTAGGCAGACCCCTGCCGTCCCCTGTTGTAACAGGGCTGACTGGGAAATCCATCCAGGCAGTGAATAACCTGAAGGCAAGGATCAGAAGCATTCAGCATTGGTTTCTTGAGTCCTGTCCTCTCTCCCCCATTCCCCTTCTGTGATGAAAAGTGATTTTATCTAAACCCCTAGTTACTAATGATGCTTTCAAGGAGCTCACTCATCCTGCTTGCCCTGCCCTCTGCCACCTCTTGACATCTGGCGCCAGCAGCCAGACCACACTCTTGACTCCATCTCTGACTATTCACCAGCTGAGGATTAATGCAAATAAATAGCAAAGCCCAGAGGAGGAAGGCTGTGGCCTGAGCCTGGTGACAGGGCTCCTTACTGGGTTGGATGGAGCTCCCTGAGTTTTCCCAACCAAAAGGATGGCCTTCCATTGTGTTTTCCCAAACCTGCTCATCCTGTAGCATAACTGAAGTGCACTATTAAACAGAATAGTTTTTCAGAAGGAGAGATTGAGTGTGATTTTATGTAGGGACCGAATTTATTTCAGTTAAAACAGGACACTTTAGTGACTATAAATGGAATCTGAAAGCCTCTAAAATTTCTTTATGACAACCATTTCTCTTAGTCACAAAAATGAGACTTCCCTTTCCCCCAGACCTCCATCATATTCCTCCAGGTACTGCTGCAGACTGTCTGAAAATCATTTACACAGTCACTCCCACCTTCAGACCCACATTTAGGGTTTTGTGAGCTGCATATCATTCAGTGTGGTATAGTAGTTACAACCAGCAACTCAAACTAGAAAGGTCTTACGGGTATGGGGTCCCTGACAGAAGAGCTTGGTTGTTGGGGAGCAATGAACAAATTTAGATTTCTTGGTTTGGCCATTGCTGGGAGGCTGTTGCAGCCCTGGGGAAGGCTAGGATGAAAATGATGGAGAAGTTGAGAAAATGGAATGTTGATGTCTTTGGAAAATTCTCGATCATATATTGTGATTGACCATCTAATAGTTTTTAATTTCACAAACCTAAATGAAACTGTTCATTTTGGCTCTTTAACATTTGCCATACACTTGCAGATTGAGTTTGTTTTTCAAAGTGTGGACCATGAACTATCCATATTAGGTTCACCAGGCTGCTTGTTAGTGCAGGTTTCTTGAGCCCCAGATCAGACCTATATAAGAATTTCTGGGGATAGAGTCTAAAAAGATACACTGAGAAGGAAAAAACAGCAATGGAATAGAGAAAATTTCTAGGAGGTGATAAACTTGGTAGGCCTGAGAAGTCAGGCCCTATGTGGTAAAGAAGAGGAGGCTCTCAGCACAGCAGTTCGGGGTGAGCCTGAGCACAGCCACTCACGGGGAGCTTCACATGGAGCTCTGGAGAAGACACCTGAACGCATACTGCCAGGTGATGTAGATGTGAAGGATCAGCCCCTCTGCTCAGATGCTGAAGCGCAGAGACAGACTGAGTGGCTGAATGGGGCCTGAGAGTGATCAGGGCCATTGCATGAAAAATAAGTTTGTGTTTTAAAATAACTTTGAAACTGCTTCTATAATATTTTACTCACATAATTCCCCTACAGATCCTTCCTATTTCCCGTGATGATTCTTTTCTCAGTCCCTAACTGCCACTCCTCAACATTGTCATGGCATCAGCTTGTCTCTGTTTCTATGTCATTATCCTTGGAACCCCTTTGCTCCCAAGGCTTCAGCTGTCACCATTATGCACGCGTGGTACTGATCTCTGTCCTGGGCTCCAGTCTTGGGTCTCTAGCAGACTGCAGAACATTTACACCTGGACTTTTTACAATTTCCCGTTATGTTTCAAGCCAGATACAACTTTCCCATTTATTACCCCAAATTTCTGTAAACCTCTTAGGGTCAAAATTCAGGAGTTTTGATTGTGCTCCTCATGCTCCTACATCTAACCAGTGTCAAGTCCTGGGCAGGTTCAGTAAACACGGAGTGAAGATGAGATTGTTGTCAGAGGAAAAGTTTTCAGAGTTGAGGTTGTGGAGGAGGTGGGGTTTCAGAGTGATGGTAGCAGTAGCTGACACACGGTATATGGTCTGTGCCAGCCTTGCCTGGGGGCCTTTTCCAAGTGGTTTTCATATATTGAGTCATTTAATCCTCACGACCTATCCATATGGCAGTCATCAGTAGTATCCCCATTTCACAGATGAGGAAACAGAATTGAACACCCCCAGGGGTGACATGACAATGAGATGAGAAAATGGAAGACCTTCCCCAGGTTGCTCTACCTGGCAGGAGACTGGACCACGTGCCCTCCAAGGCTTGGGTATGAGGTGGGGAGAAGAGGAAACCATCCAGGTGGTTGTCCTGTCCTCACTGTTCTTCCTCTGCATTTCCCCATTGCTGCTAACCCTAGAGTTCAGGTCCTTGTCACTCTTTCCCTGGATTATATATCATCTCCTAATGGATTAGTATGTCTGTTTTCTCTCCATCTCCCCAGAGCACTACACCAATCTTGTCACTCCTTTATCAAAAATTTCAGTAGCTTCTCTCTTCTTATAGAATAAAATTCTAACTCCTTAGCCTTACAGGCCAGGCCCTCCTTGAGCTGGTCTCTACATAGCTATATAGCTACCTCTCATGCTTCTCCTTTTCACATACCAAGTAGCAAAATGATAACAAGGCCCCATAGCTACCCAACTTGCATGTCCATGAATGTTCACACGCGTTCCCGCATCCTCCAGCTCCTCACATCCAATCAATAAAAGAGTCAAAAAGAGCCTTAGAAACCATCTCACTTAACCCCCTGCTCAGTGCAGAAACTTTCAACACTCGTTGACAGATGGCTGTCCATCCTCTGTTACAATATGTTCAGGGATGAGAAGCTCATTGTTGCATGGGGCAAAAGCAGGTAATTCCATTCCTGAGCATTCTGATTGCTCAGGAATGGAAATTAAGTTGAGCTGAATTCTACTTCCTTGTAAGTTCCACCTTTAGCTTCTGGTTTTGCCTTCTCAAGCACCACGGCGTAATCATCTGTAAAATGAGAGGGATGGACAAGATTTCCAAGGACGTTTTCGGTCATAGTTAGGAATTTCACTCCTAACATCTCCCACCATCCCAACTTTGAGATCCAGCTAAATGACTCTGAGAAAGGATATTAGCTGGTAAGTCTGCAACTAGAGGAAAAGCCCAATTTTAGCATGAACCATGGAGTGGTGAAGAACATTTTGATGAATTTATTTTTTTTTAGTGAAAAGATTCTTTTTAAAAAGCTTTCCAAAGATATTTTCTTTCTTCAAATTATGTGTAGAGTTTAAATTTTTTCCACTTGAAAAAAAGGAAAGCCCAGTTAGGTGCGTTATTTTAAATATGTCAATAATGAAGAACTGAAGATCTTGAGATGAATCAAAAATTATGTAGACTGTTTTCTACACACAAAGATAATTATAAGCTTGAGCAAGAGCAAGACCCCGTCTCTACACAAAAATAGAAAAATTAGCTGGGTGCGGTGGTGCATGCCTCTAGTCCCAGCTACTCAGGAGGCTGAGGCAGGAGCATTGCTTGAATTTGAGCCGAGCTGTTTGAGGTTGCAGTGAGCTATGATGATACCATTGCACTCTAGCCAGGGTGACAGAGCAAGACCGTGTTTCAAAAGATAATAATAATTATGGTCATATGGTCACCAGAGTGGTTTTTCCACGGATAACAAAGGATTCTTTTATCTTCCACAAGCATGTTCTTTCTTGTGTATTTATTCCCTGCTTTGGTTGCTGACATCAACTTCCCAGTGAGCCACGTTAGTAATGTGGGAATTAATTGGTCTGGATACACATTTCTCTCCATCTCTTCACTCCTACAGCTTGTCAGTCAGTACCTTACCCACCCTTTCTTCCCCATTGCTGTGACTCCTGCGTTGGCCTAAGCCATGCTCAATTCATTCCAGGACTTTGGCACCAGTCTTGCACTAGGTCTCTGCTTCCTTCTTTCTACTCAATTCATTCATAGCTAAGGATGAGTTACCGCTCTAAAATGCAAAGTGGGTGACAACACCTCAGAACCTCTCAGTGGCCCCTCTCATACCCTAGGTCAAAGGCTAAATTATTTATCATGACACACAAGGCTTTTCATCACCTCCCTCCTGCTTCTTCAGGAAGAAAGATGGGGTTGGGGGGGCGGTTCACCAGGCACACAGTAAATGGTACAGTGAGATTCAGACACATTTGGTGCCCAAAGCCCTGGCCACCAGAGGGAATCCCAACCCTCCCTAAACACCCTTTTCTTCTTACTCATCCTTGAGGCTCTTCACCAGCAGATCAATGAGTAAGTTCTTGTACTGTAGGGGATACAAAGATGAGTGAACAATGGTTCCTGCACTGAAGGAGGCTCAGTCTAGTGGGAGACTGATAACAGAAGATACAATGAGATGCCAGGAGAGGCACAGTAATCAGAATGACAGCTGATCTTCATTGACTGCCTACCCACGTGCCAGGCAATTTCTTACTTGCCTTCACAACCTGTGTTGTCTTTGATGCTGTCAATATTGTCTTCGCAACTGCTCCTTCCCTGAGCAGTCTAGAGCAGTAGTGGCATGGGAGGAACCAAAGGTTTTCAAATCCCCTCTCAAGCATGCAATACAGGGTTGATTCTGATATCTGTTTTATTACCATGGGATAAAAAAGTCATATTCAGAATGAACTATATTTGGCATACTCCAGTGAGTACTACCAAATTAGGTTATTGAGTTCTGATCATGAGAAGAAATTTCAAACAAATGGAAACAGAAAACTTGTGCATTATTAAGCAGTCAGAAATGGCCACCAGATTTTTGTAGCATGGGCTCCGCAAAGCCCCAAATAGCTGAGAACTGTCTGATCCTTTGAGACAAGGAGAACCCCCAATGCAGCCTAGTCGCTTCCACCTTCTGATGCTACACTGTGCTGCTTGGGACCAGGGCAGTGGCACTTAGCATTTGTGTCCTGTATTTGTTGGGCTTTCTGAGGGAACTTCTTGTCCCTCTGTTGCCCAAAGATGGAACTGTCAGTTCAACACCAGCATCTACCTTTTTTTTTCTTTAGTAGACTTTATTTTTTAGGGCAGTTTTAAGTTCACAGCAATGTTGAGCAGAAGGTACAGAGGGTTCTCACAGACATTCGGTCCCCACACGTGCACAGCCTCCCTCATTATCAACATCCCCCAACAGAGTGATCCATTTGTTTCCACTGATGAGGCGACATTGACTCCTCATTATCACCCCAAGTCCACAGTTTACATTAGGGTTCACTCTTGGTGCATATTCTATAGGTTTGGACAAATTTATAATGACGTGGATCTACCATTATGGTACTATACTGAATAGTTTCACTGCCCTAAAAATCCTCTGTGCTCTATTTACTCCTCCTTTCTGGCTAGCCCCTGGCAGCTACTGATCTTTTTACCATCTCCACAGTTTTGCCTTTTCCAGAATGCCATGTAGTTGAGGTCATACCATATGTAGTATTTTCAGATTGGCTTCTTTCACTTAGTAAA